TGGAGCAGTGGATACAGCTCTGGCCTTGGAGTCAGGAGGACCTGAGTTCAAATCCAGCCTCAGACACTTGACACTAACTCTGTGACCCTGGGCAAGTCACTTAACCCCAATTGCTTCAGGAAAAAAAAAAATTCTCCCATGTCACAGAACTATAGAATGTAACATAATGAAGGGACCTCAGAACATCAAATATTCTACCTCTGGTAGACATAAGCTTTTTGAGGGCAGGGATTTCTTGTCTCCATCTTTATAAACATAGTTCCTCAAATATATGTGTCTAATGTTTGTTGAATCTCAACTTTTAAATACAATGTGGAACTTTAGAAGAAAAAATATTAATGCCTAGAAAATAACATATTAAATATAGAAGAAATTTGAGAGAGATCACCTAGTCCAGTCCCATTTTACAAAGGAGGAAACCCAGGCCTAGATTGGGAATGTAACTATTTAAGGACATCATGTTGGCAGACCCAATATTACAAGCAAGATTTCAGGTCTCCTTTCACTGTACCATGGTGTCTTTCTGTTAAATCCACAAGTACCACATTATCAAATTCTCTGTCCAACCTGCCATCTCCATGCCCTCAGGCCTTATTAATATCCTCCTATTCAGATAAAGCCTTGAAATCTATTCTCTGATATTACCACCAATGAATTTCTTTGTGACCTAAAGAAAATGGACACAATTTCTTTTGATCTCAGATTTCTTCCCTCAGATTTCTAACCCCTTTCTATTTCTTGGGGACATGGTGGGGATGAATTAAATGTCTGTCAAGCAAAATTTTCACTCTCTTTTGAAAGAAAATTGTTGATGTAGAAACATTACACACTGTGTAGATGGTCTGGGAAAAATTCTATAAAAAAGATTAGATATGAGTTTATTGCACTGTGAGTTTATTGCACTTTGGTCACAACTAAACTTATTTAATTTAAGTCTGTGGGGCTGAAGATTCATATGGCTGGGGAGAACTGTGAAAATGATAAGCTATTTCAGGATAGCCACTTTACTTTTTAGAAGCTTATGTTTTTACAATGCTTTTCAGTATTAGCACACCCATTTTACAGAAGGAAGAACTGAGGCTCATGTTAAATGGCTTGCTGAGGGCCACAAAGCTGGCAAGTGGCAGAGTTCCTATATTGCCTCAATGCTTGGAGCAATGCCATGCACTCAATAAATGTTTTAGATGACAACTGATTCTAGGAAATGAGGGAGATAGACAGGAGAGATTAGATAAGAAATGTTTCTCAGTTTTCTACTGAGGATTAAAAAACAAATGAGACAGTCCACTGAGCTCACTACCAAGCTTCTACCTCTCCTAGCTTCGTAGCAACAGATATTTATTAAGAGCCCACTGTGCCCTAGGCACCAGGGCTAAAAAGGAAAAAGAAAAACAGTAACAGTGATAGTAACATTGCATTCAATGTTTCAGGAATAGCAAAATATAGTATTGTGTCAAGAACACTGAGCTAAGACTCAGGAAATCTGAGTTCTAGGTAAATCTTTACATCTAACTTGCTGTGTTTTCATGGGTGAATCATTTCTCTATATGCCTCAGTTAGCTCCTCTAAGAAGTTAATAGTGTAATATCTGGAATATATGCCCTAGAATATAGAATGTTAAAGTGTTGGAAGGGGCATTAGGGACAGACCATCAAGTCCAACCTTCTCATTTAACAGAGAAGGGGGTCCAGAGAAGAGTAGTCTCTTGGACTAAGTCTATACAAAAAGTTAGTGGCAAAACCAAATCTAGAACAGGGGTTTCCTGACTCTTGGTCCAGTATTCCTTCCATTATTTTACTTTATCATCAGGATGTGTTTTGTCAGTTTCATTGTCACCAATGGGAAACAGGATACAAGAAGAAGTCTTTGGCCTGAATCCCTAGCTAGTTATTAACATTAATGCTAGGATTTGGACTCTTAGCTCTTCAGTATCTTGTTCCTGGAGATTAGCCCCCTGACTCATGCTGTTTGAATTTTATAGGCCTTTCACTTTGCCAAATTGATCTTGAAACTGATCCATTTAATTGGGACATCATCAGGAAGACCAGCAAAATCCAACAGACATACTCAAAAGATGAACTTACTTAGGGATTGGAGAGACCTACTTGGGATGACTGAGATCCAAATTGGCAGCAAAGAGGAATCAGAGGTAGTAAAGTAATAAAGGCTTGCAAAAATTTGAAGCATGAAAACAGGATGATGGAAAAGTTATTAACCCTGTCTCAATTAAACTACATTACAAAAAGTGACAAAAAAACCCAGCACCCTTTCCTTAGCCTGAAATGTTTTTGTGATCCCACCCCTAAAGACAGAACAATATAGCACTTTCTTGTACCTTGCTTTATTTGTATTTCAAAAATCTCCTATGACATAAGTAATGCAAGTATGATCCCTATTTTATAGATGAGGTAATTGATGCCCAAAGAAGGAAAGAGCCATAGAAGTCATAGAATATTATTCCTGGAAGAAAAGTTAGAGAGATCACTACATTACAGAATAGAGAAATGTTACAAGTAGAAGGGACCTAACAACACATTAAAATCAAAGCTGGAAATGGACTTAAGTCCTCAAGTGTAACACCCTTATTTTATGGTAGAGCCAACTGAAGCTCAGAAAGAGGCTCAAGGTCACACAGATAATAAGTGAAATTCCCAGACTCTGAGTCCAGGGTTTTTTCTACTGTGCCATGTTGCCTTATGTAAGAAATGAGACTAGGTTTTGGAGAGCTTCCTTTCCCTTTTCTTTTACTGGTAATTTCTCCCTTAAAATCTCATATCAAGAAATTCCCTAAAATATAGATGGGTTATTTCCTGACCTTCAATGTTACCACAATATCTTCAGTTGCCACAGTACCCCCAGTAAATGTGCTAGCTCCTTCAAAGCAGAAATTATTTCTAGTATCACAGTGTTTTCCAAGGTGTAGCACTTAATAAATGCTTTTTGAATTGAATTATTCAATATTTTTTGCTATAATTCTCTTTTGCAAATAGTAGCAGCTCATATTGATATAGTACTCTAAGAGTTACAAAGTACTTTTCTCACTATAACCCTTTGGAGTCATTTGGTGGAAGTGGAAACAGGCTCAGAAAATTAGAAGTAATTTGCCTGAGCTAACATAGCTAGTCAGTGGAGAGCCAGAATTCAAAACCCAGGCTTTTGATCCAGTTCTTCCACTACTCTCTGCTTCCCCTATAGGGCATTTTGTTACTGGAGAGGGAATCTTCAGCCCCTTTCTCTTAGATCAGAATGGAACACTAGGTACTTGGAAACAAATTGGAATGATGAGAGAAGTCACTTAATTGCTCATTGACCCAGAGAACCCACCATGGGGGATATACATATTTCAAGGAAGTTAACAACAGAGGGAAACAACCCATATTTATTTAAATATTCAGAGAAGCCTGTTTATGACAGCAAAAAAAAAAATAGAAACAAAGTGGGTACCTATTAATTATAGAAATGGCTGAACAGATTGTAGCATATAATCTTAATGGAATTGTACTGCATCTAAGAAATGACAACTATAAGGAATTTAGAGAAACTTGGGAATACCTAATGTGAACTGATGCCATAAAATATGCAGAACTAGGACAACAATACTTAGTAAAGGAAATTGGCATTAAAGGCAACCCAACTCTGATTGATTTTAATAACCTATCCTGGGTGTCACATATATAAAAAACAGATAATAAAATATATCTTTCCTATCTAGGTAGAGAGATGGGGATTACCAGTGGAGAACTACATATGCTGTCATGGTGGTTGTGTCATCTGGTTTTGTTTAACTATTATTTTGTTAGAAGGTAGAGTTAAATTGTGTGTGTGTGTGTGTGTGTGTGTGTGTGTGTGTGTGTGCTCGAGTGCTCGCTTGTGTGTATCCGGGAGCAGATATATATATAAAACAAAAGGCATCCATGCAATTTGTGAAAAAGAAAAGAAGGGGACAGTTGTAGTCTCCATTTTCCCAACAGGGAAGGTGAGGCCACAGAGCTGAGGCTGCTTTCTTTAATCCCCTCAATAGTCTTCCCTTACTCATAGGCTCTCTGAAAAACAGACTCACCACTATCTCTGTCTCAACAGCACCCCCCACCCCCAATAATACCTGATAGACTAACAGCTTCCAGATACAATCAGTCCAGTTAAGGTTCTGATATATTACACACAGCCTTTGCTGTTAAGCTTATATCCAAAGCTGACTACCCTTATTCTTCAAATCTTAAGATTAAAACCTTTGTTATTGTAATTTTAATTAGTGGAAAGAACTTTGGATTCAGAAGACCTGACTTCAGGTTCTGACTTGTGGCCCCCTAGGTGGATCACTTCTCTGAGTTTGTTTTCTCATCTGCAGAGTGGGACAAATCATACTTTTACTGCCTGCCTCTCTCAGGATTGTTGGGAGGAAGGTGCTTTGTAAATTATTAAACACAATAGAAAGAGCTGCTATTATTCTCTCCTGGACACCCCAAGCAGAAGTTCTCCCCAACACTGAATCCCTAAGAGCTTGGGTTTTCTCTTCCTTATTTTGTCTGATTCCAGTCCTGGTGCTGCTAGCTAAAGTCCTAACTTCAGAACCAGTCAATCAGCAACAACCGGTCATTCAGGAAAACAAAATGAAGGAGACTCTCAAGTTACTATGGTACACAGGATGCAGACAATAATAAAAGGAGATGGGAAGGCTGCGGATGTACAGAAAGAATATACCCTAAGGGGTGTCCCAGAAGTGGACTTCACTCGTATTGTACCTAGAAAATACGTGTGAATATGTACTTTCCTTTTATATCTATTTATTTTAATATATAATATAGTGGTATATTTCTTGTTGTTGGAGGGTGCACTTATATAATTAAACAAAGACTTGATTAAGGACCTGACTGAAACTTTCTGGCCAGGATTCCTAACTAAATCCCGGTTCCCCCCACCTTCTCCCTTTGCCTTCCATCTGCTCACCTCTGCTCGATGCTGCAATCTCAGGCTTCCAAAAAATCCCCTAGGCTACTCACCGTCACAGTTCGATCTTCCCTTTCCGACCTCTGCTGCTGCTGCTAACCCCTCAAATCTGGAGGCTGGCTGGGTGTGTTAGTCATGTTACTGAGCAGTCAAGTGGCTCTCAACAGGCACGTGACACAAAATGAGTTGGGTCACTCACTCTAACTGCAGACAAAAATTCTCTTCTTCTCGTAGGGCAAATGGGCTGTAGGTTTGATATTCTCAGAGCCCAGGAGAAAGTAGGTCATTCTGGTGGGAGCTTAGAAACCTTTGGACTGAGTTGTGGAGTTTTGTTTCCCTCCTTGAAGGGATGCTTAAGTAAGGAAGTAACTGAAGTTAGATCACTGATGAGTTTTTGAAGTATTTTCTTGAAAAAAGCCCTGGAAGAGGAAGGTAGTACAAGGATTATCATCCTCATTTTACAGATAAGAAAACTGAGCTCAAAAAGAGGTACTGTTGGGGCCGCTAGGTGGTGAAGTAGAGCTCCAGCCTTGGAATCAGAAGGATCTGAGTTCAAATTTGACCTCAGATATTGAAACTTACTAGCTGTGTGACTCTGGGCAAGTCACTTAACCCTGATTGCCTCCCCCCCCCCCCAAAAAAAGAGGTACTGTCTGTCTTGCCCAGTGTCATACATCTAAGAAGTAGCAGAACCAGAACTTGGTTCTCCTAAGTCAGGTTTTCTCATTCCTAAAATCCAATGTTCTTTCTGCCACACTGGACTGTCCCCAACTATGTTAAAGAAAGTGACAGGCAGTCCAGGATAGATTAAATGGACGGGGATCAGATACTCTCTCTGATTTTAACCATTTATTGCTGTTTGAAAAGCACTAAAATGAGGGTTATTCAGGTAAAAGTGAAGAAAGGCTGGATAGCTACCAGGCAGTCACTAAGGTAGGAAGTTCCTAAGATAATTGAGTTAAAGATCAAGTGTACCTTTTAAGTATTGGGTTTTTTTTTTTCACCCAAGAAGGCTTTCTCTGTTTTCTTAACTTCTAACACCAATTACAAGTTTGATGGTCTATGGGGGAGTATTTTTTTGTTTGTTTGTTTGTTTGTTTTTTTGCTAGGCAATGGGATTAAGTGACTTGCCCAAGGTCACACAGCTAGTAAGTGTTATGTATCTGAGGCTGGATTTGAACTCAGGTCCTCCTGAAGCCAGGGCTGGTGCTCTATCCACTGTGCCACCTAGCTGCCCCGAGTATTTCTTTTTGGAGATGAAATGGGGCAATGGTAGAAAGAACCACGATATATGGCAAAGTAGTAAGCACTTACTATGTGCTTATGGCACTATGTACTATGGCACTTACAACACTAAGCATTGTAATGTGGGTAGGTGGGTGGGTGCATGGGTGAAGAAACAACACATAGAGGAAAGTTCTGCTCTGGGTGAATGGCTAGGCCTCAGGGCTCCTTAAGGCATTTCCTTACATCGAAATCACTTTGTAAACTGCTAAAGGCCATAGAAATGACTTTTTTTTGAGGCAGGGTGGGTAGGAAATAGAAGTTGTCATTACTCTCCTGTCCCCAAAATTAATGATATATGCTCACACATATATTGTGTGAATAATTATTTTTTGTAAGTTAAAAACTGAACTTCTTCCCCTCACCACCCAAGCTTGTTCCCCTCCCAGATTATTCTTTTTCTCCACCCCATGGTGCTAGATTCTCAGTCTAGAAAATGTGAAGTTTATCTTTGACCCTTCCCTCTCCTTCATCTCCCTCTGTGTACTGGAGATGTCCTTTGAAATGTGCCAGATTCATCTCTTCTTCACTCCCACAGTCACCTTATTAAATAAGTTTGATACTAAAATGGATCTGTGATCTTATTGATATGGGTATTCTCTCCATTTGTGTGGATTATGAGCCATCTACATCTTCTTATATGTTTGTGACTTTTGTCCTCAAGTTGTATAAATCCTCCATAGGAAGACCATTCCATGTACCAGCGACATTTCTTACCCTTAATATGTTGCTGGCCTACCTTTTTTCAGGTCTTCTGTTACACTTTTGACATACTTTTGGTAGTTATTATTATATTCTTGGTTAGTAATATGTTGTAGTCTATTCACATCCACATGTGTTTTCCCCATTGCCCTTTGACTGATTTCAATCTTAATTTTTTTGGAAATTAAAAATATTATTGCAATAAAAGTGATTCTTTTTTTTCAAGTCAGTCCTCTTCACAAATGTGGAGGTGACCCTAGGTACTCAAGGCTAGGCTGGCAGAGTGCAAGCTCTAGCAGTTCTCACCAAAATAAAAGGTACTGGGCCTGGTGCTGGACTGCATGCCTAGCTATATATCTGTGATCAGAGAATCAGTCTTACTAAGTTTGGGCTTAGATTGATCTAGATAACCAGGTTCATCACCTGGTTGGCTGAAGGATGATGAATTTTTTAGCCACAGAAACTCTTAAAAGACTATCTACTTAATTATGAGGGATTTTGATCTGCATCAGTTACCACCAAAATTGAAGATTCTTGACATTATCTGTACATCGAATCCTGATTCCTTTGCCTGATTTTCAAGATTCTCTAAACTCTAGCTCCATTTTCTTCATCCAATCTTAATTCCCCACTACCTTCCTTACAGGTACCCTTCACTCAACAAACATCTCTCTCCAACCTGTATTAAGGACCCTTGCTCTACCATGCCCTAGCTTTTCATCCCAAAGCCTCACTCCAGCCCTGAAATTCTCATATAGGAAATGCCCTCCACTCCTTCAATCTCTCCCTCTGATTGGGATGGGATGGCTCCTCCCAGAACCTTCAAGGTGGGCATGAAAGCAAGTTACAACTCATACTTTTGCAGGCTGTGCTTTGAACTTCCTCTACAATGGTCCTATAGTGGGGTACCTTTGTTCCCTCTCTCTACCCCCATAGTTTTCTTTTATGTGTTGTCTTTCCACATTAGAATGTAAGCTCCTTGAGGGCAGGAACTGTCTTCCAATTCGTACTAACAGCTTAGCACCTGACATTGAACAATAATGAGAACTTAATAAATGCTTGTTGATGACCAACTGAGTATCTGTCTATAAAGCCCAGCATCTAGTTCCTTCTGCATCTTCCTACATTTGTACCTATTCATGTTGTTCCCTTTGATTGAAATATTCTCCCACTTTCTGTGTACCTATCACCTTTCTCATCCTTCAAGGCCTAACTTGACTCTCATCTCCTTTGTGAAGCTTTCTCTGGTTGTTATAGCCCAGATCAATCTCCCTATTCTCTGAACTTTAGTGGTACTTACAGTCAATATTATCTAGTCAATATCACTTAGTTTAGCATTTAATTTTTGTTTAATGCTAAGAAAGAAAAATGTTATTCTGTTTTCCTCCAACTCAGTTATTCCATAGATGGTCATTTTAAGGAACTTGTCCAAAACTGAACTTATCACCCTTTCCCCTCAAACCAGCTTAGAGTAGTCTTACATCTCTCTCACTAATTGGAAGCTCCCTAAGTACAGAGACCAGGGCTTTTACTTTTTTATATCCCTCAAGGTGCTAGTTGCATACAGAGTGTTCAGTAAATATTTGACTTATTCATTCTTTCTGGAAAGTGAAACCATTTCACAATTATTAAGCACCTACTCTATGCAAAGCATTTTGTCAGGTGCTGGGAAAGATGCATAGGTAATTAAGGCTGGTCTCTGACCTGATTGTGAAAGCCTGGAAGAAAAGACTGCATCATCATTGTCAGTACTTTTATTTCTATTTCATACAATGTATTTATATATACCTTAAATATAACATAGTATATAATTATTATTAACTTCTTGACAGTTTACTATGTCAGATATTTCTACTTCCTCAATCTTTCAGTCCCTCCACAATTCCTTGTATTCTGATCTTTCTGTTGTTGTTTGTATTATCAAAGTTTAGCACAGTAGGGCAGCTAGTGGTTCAGTGGCTAGAGCACTGGGCCTGGAGTCAGGAAGAGCTGAGTTCAAATCCAGCCTCAAATACTTACTAGTGGTGTGACTCTGGGCAAGTCACTTAACCCTGTTTGCCTCATTTTCCTCATCTGTAAAATGAGCTAGAGAAGGAAATGACAAACCACTCCAGTATTTTTTGTCAAGAAAACCCTAAATTCGGTCACAAAGAGTCAGACACCACTAACTGACAAAACAACAACAACGTTTAGCACAGTACCCAAACACATTTATTGTTGTTGTTCAGTCCTGTCAGATTCTTTGTAAACTCACGAACCAACTTGGCAAAGATAATGGAGTGGCTTGCCATTTCTTTCTGAAGTTTTGTGCAGGCCAAGATTAAATTACTTGCCCATGGTCACACAGCTTAGAAAGTATCTGAGGTCAAATTTGAACTCAAGTCTTCCTGACTCCCAGGCCCAGTGCTCTGTCGACTTATCCACATAGCTTCCCCTCCAGACACAATAATAAGTACTTAATGCATGCTTGTTGACTTGACATAGTAAATGCTTAATAAATGCTTAATAAATGCTTGTTGATTTGATTTGCTTCTACCATTCAAATAACACTGCTCCCTCAAAAATTAACTCTCCTATTTATCATACCTAATGGCCTTTATAGGCCTCATTTTTCCTAATCTTTCTTTGGCATTTGGCATTTTTAACACAACTCCCCTTTAACTTCCTCCCCTTTCTAGAGATGATGTCCTTTGCCTTCAGAGGTACCCTCTTGCTTCTCTTCTACCTGTTCATGCTCCATCAGCTTCACTGACCCTTTGTTATTTTTCTAACCCTGTAGAGTATGTGTCCCCTACAGTTCTGACCTTAATTCTGTTTTCTCATTATACTTCCTCCAGTGTCATCATCACTTCATTCATTTCCACAGCTTTATCTATCATCTCTACCCAGAACTTAATTGTTGAAATTTTTATTTCCAATATACTAGGAACCTCTCTCATGACCTTCAGACTCACATCTCAGGTTACTAACAGAATATATCTGTTCCATAAAAACTCAAACTCATTATATCAAAAACTGAGCTTACTACTTCCCTTAAAATCTCTTCTTTTGTCTGACTAGTTTTGCCAGTGATACTTCATTAACTCAATAGGCCAAGTGTGAAACCTTGGTATTATCTATTCCTTCTCACTCATCTTTAGTTACC